CTGGTGAATCCTCTCACTGCCCCTGCATCTCTGACCTGTACCCCAGTTCTGTATGCATAAACAAATCTTAAAAAAAAAATTCCAAGGTTAAAACTTATCAGAATGTGTGACCAACTCCCCTACCTTCTCCATAAACCCTGTAGAATTCAATGTGACAAACAGGTGTAACATTAAGCGCTTCTTTTAAAAATGCAGGCTTCAGGACCCACCTTAGACTTCTAAAGCCCCTTTTCCAGGGGATTCTATACCAAATCAGGTCTGGAACTAGAAGTTCACATCAGAGCAGGTGCAGTATAGAAACATTCCACTCTAAATCTCCTAGCTCTAAGGCAGCAAGGGCTTTTGTCTGCTTTGCTCCTTGTTTTACTAACATCCAATATAGAGACATACAGTGAGCACCTGATATGTGTCAAATGCTGTGATATGTGTGCTGATACAGTTTTATTTATGGATACAAGAGTTGGGGGGGGTAGGCCAGAATTGCAGGGGTGAGAGGATTTACCAGAGGTAGAGTGGGGAGCAGAACAGGCAGCTCTACTGAAATACACTGCTGAGGGGAGCAGCGGAAGGGCAGGGCAGGAGAGGCCTGCTGTGCCATGTGAGTTACCTCCCTGGCCTGGGATCAAACTCATGCTGCAGTGATTGTGGCTAGCATCACAGAGCTGTGCTTTAACCCCTTGCATCAGCAGGGAGGGCCCTGATATAGTTTCAAACAAAACTAACAAAGTCCCCGCCCTTATAGCTGGGTCTGTACAGTCTACTTGGAGAGAGAGAAAGTAAACAATAAGCCAATATAGGTGACCCACCCGTACAGCAGATCTCTTCTGTCCTGCCTGCTGCTCCCCTCAGCAGTGTAGTTCAGTCCATCTGCCTGTTCTGCTCCCCACTGTCTCTGGTGAATCCTCTCACCCACCGCACCCCTCCCCCCCCCACACTACATCTCCAGCCAATACCTCAGCTCTTGTAGGCATAAATAAATAAACCTTTTTTTTTAAATTAAAATAATCTCTGCAGTATGAAGGCCTATTGGGACATGACTGGAGATCTTGGGACAGGGATGAAACTAGGACAAGAGGGTGGCTGTTGCCTTCTCTAATTAAAGTATAAAAAGACATTAGTTTTCTTCGTGAGTCCTTCCCAGTCCTCAGTTACTGAAATTCATTTCTCACATACTTATTTAGAAGATATGCACATCGAACAATATTCAAAAGGTCCACAAGGATATATACAGAAAGTCCATTCCACCAGTCTCCTAAGTGCACGAGGCAAACACAAACACACAGACATAAATATCTGCAAGTAGCAGCAAACTATAGCAAAAGAGTCTTTAAAAAAAAAAACAACTATTGTTCCTCAAGATCATTTGATATCGGTATATTTGGGGTCATCTAGGTTCTGTTAACTAGCTGCATTCTATTCACTTGGATAAAAACAGCATGTAATTTTATAGCAAATCCTCCAGTGATGGAAGTTTGTTTCACACAGTCTTTTGTGATGCTAACAAAACAACAATGAATATTCTTGTACCTTTGTTATTTGCTTATGTGCAAATGTGTCTACAGGGAAATGTTCTAACCATGCAAGAGCCTGGTCAAAAGTATTTACATGTTAAATTTTGGTAAACTGTCACATATTTCTCCACACAAGTGACTACATAGTCTCAGCTGGTGCATCAGACAGTTTGGCACTATGAGTTTTGTTTTTATATTCCTTTCAAAGGTGCCTGTATTCTGAATGCAAGTCTCTAAGCCCCAAAAGAAGGTGTTTCAAATATATTCCATGAGAAAAAGAAGCTCATGCTATAGCATTTCTGCCAATAGCTATAATATGTCACTGCTTCAACTTTTGGGGTTTTCCCCCAGGAGAAAGAAATCACCACCACTTCCTCAATTTAGAGTTTATTTAGTCCATCCCCTCATTAAAGATGAGGAGGGGACTTGCCCAAGGTCACAAGGGACCTAACTAAGGCTGCTTCTAATTGCCCACTGAGCTGAACAAAAGCTCTTTCCTTAACAGCCTTCTCCATGATGTTCAAGATCTCTTTCTCTTGTAGAAAATTCAGTCTCAAGGAGGTCCACCAAATTCCTTTGTTAAGGCTCATTGCTGAATACAACGAAATTATAAGAATCTAGCTCCCTCTGCTGGTCACATACTTAACCACAAGGCCTAAAACCACTTGGAGGCCATATGAATTTATGGAAGTAGTCCCACTTAAGAGTGAGATTTAGGGAAGTCAGAGAGCCTCATTCACCACCAGAGAATGGGCTTGAAGGAGAATATATGCACAGTAAATATAATTAGAGACTTAACAAGAAAAAAGTCCCTATTAGTGTGTTTTAGAAAAAGAATTTGCCCCCACCCCGGTGGTGTAACCAGCACTATGAAGCCATCTGCAGCCACTAGAACAGGAGTTCCATTCCCAGCCAGGGAGCTGACTCAGAGGGTGTGGCAGATGCCTCCTGTCCCACCTGCCCTCTGCTCCCCTCAGCAGTGTATTTCAGTACATCTGCAGGTTCTGTTCCCCACTCTATCTCTAGTGAATCTGCTCACTGCCAGCACTCTGACCTGTACCCCAGTTTGCATGTATAAATAAATCTTTTTAAAATAAAAAGAATTTGAGCTGTTAGTGAAAGATCCATGTGGAGATGCCAATTAAAAACCTAACTATATGGGCCCTCCCTGGTGGCGCAGCGGATTAAAGCACAGCACTAAGAAGCTTAAGCCAATAGATCTGCCTGTTCTGCTCCCCACTCTGTCTCTGGTGAATCCTCTCACCTTCCGCATCTCGGACCTCTACCCCAGTTCTGTATGAATAAATAAATAAAACTTAAAATAAAAAAAAAAAAACAACACCTAACTATATGAACTGGAGACACTAGAATGCTCAGGGCCCAGAAAGCAACTTTGGGAGCCTTTAGTGTCCAGTGAGTGGTTTTCACATGAGCATATAGATACAAACAGTGGACTGTGGACAGTCCTGGAGATGATCAATATTTATAGGACAGGAAATCAGGAAAACAGAGAATCGGTAAGTATATCACTTTACTTCCCAAATAAAGTCCAACTATATTTAACACATGCCTACATTTATAATAATAATTAGGAATACAAATTGCAAAATTCCAAGAAATTGTTACTTTGGAAAAAATAATGGCACACTAAAAATATGAGGGGAAAAGCCCACATTTGGTCAGATAACTTGATTATAGCAGCTGAATGCAACACTAAGATGTCATGTTTTAATATCGAGGCACACACCCATGAGGATAAGAGCATATGGTGTTTGCTTTCCCCCATCTTTTTGTGTTTTGGGAAAGTGAGGATTAGAGATGTGAGAATTATAAATCTTTTAAACTTAGGCAACACAACCCATAATAGCAAACCCTGGGTCCTCCCTAATGGTGCAACAGGTTAAAGTGCAACACTATGAAGCTATCCACAACCACTGCAGCATGAGCTTGATCCCCAGCCAGGGAGCTGACCCACATGGCTCAACAGACCTCTCCTGTCTAGTCTGCTGCTCCCCTCAGCAGCGTATCTCAGTCGATCTGCCTCTTCTGCTCCCCACTCTGTCTCTGGTGAATCCTCTCACCCCACACCTCTGGCTTGTACCCCAGGTCCTGTATGCATTAATAAATAAATCTTTAAAAAATATTTATTTGAACCTTTTGAACTCTTATTACGGGCCAAGCACTGCTCTATGATTTTCAGCATAGAAATTCGCTTAATTCTTACAACCTACCTTTGTAATAGCTATTATCTTTTTTCACTCTTGGGAACATGGAGGCAGAGAAACCTTAAGTGCCTTACATAAAATGACACAGTTGTTTAAATTGGAAGTGTCTGGAACCAAAGACATTGTGTACTGGAGAGGAAAACGAAAAGCGGAACACTTTCTTTTTTATTTATTTTTGCATACAGAACTGAGGTACAGGGTCAGTGAGAGGATTCACCAGAGACAGAGTGGGGAGCAGAACAGACCAACTGACAAGTACACTGCTGAGGGGAGCTGCAGGCGGGTCAGGAGAGCGCCATGTGGTCACCTCTGGGGCAGGGATGGAACACATGCTTAAGTGGCTTTAGCTTCTTAGTGCTGTGCTTTAACCAGCTGCGCCACCAGAGAGGACACTTTAAGAAGATAAATAAGTTTCTCAGCATTAGCATTAGCTGAGAAACTTACCCATCAATAAAGACTCAGAAGAACTTCAGTTGTCCAGCTCAAATGCAAAACCATTTACTAATGGCAACGTTTTTACTTCACAGTCAAGGACATAAAATGGTGTTCATAGATGCTTGGAACATCTTTGTAAGTATTAAGTACTGTGATCATTTTCACCCTAGCAGAAAGAATGTTGTACATTAAAAGTTATTTCTCATATTTTGATGAGATATAGAGCTTTATCTTGAAAACTTCAGTTACTTAAAAAAAGTTCTCCGCAGGACCCTCCCTGGTGGCGCATCGGGTTAAAGCACAACACTAAGAAACTAAACCCACTTGTTGAGTTCGAACCCCGCCCGCCCGGAAGTGATCCACATGGCGAGGCAGACCTCTCCTGACCTGCTGCTTCCCTCAGCAATGTACTTCGACGATCTGCCTGTACTGCTCCCCACTCTGTCTCTGGTGAATCCTCTCGCTACCTTTGCAGCTCTGGTCTGTACCCCAGTTCTGTGTGCATAAATAAATCTTTTTTAAAAAATTCTCCGTAATTGTCTGACCTTAAAAAGATGGTTCCAAAAAACACACTTTCCGTACTCTAGAGGATGACTTCACACGGATTTCCTCCCATTCAGTAAGAAATAGCACTGTACCCTTAAGAAAAATGGCAACTTTTTATTTCTTTGCCCTCTTCAAAGATGGCTTCCTCTACGCTTACGGGCCGGGGCCTAGCTCCACTTCCGGGCTCGAAAGAGGGCGGGGTCCATTGAGTAAAGCCTTGCGTGCGGGCGCCCGCGACGGAGGCGCGCTTCAGGGCGCAGGCGCGTGGAGGGGTGGGGGAGGAGGGAAAGCGGCGAGTAAGATGGAAGATGAGGAGGTCGCTGAGAGCTGGGAGGAGGCGGCAGACAGCGGGGTAAGGAGGAGCCGCCGCCCCGGGGCAGGGCCGGGCGGGATCTGGCGTGAGGGGAGCCTTCGGGGAGCGGGTCTGGGGATGGTTCTCCCCGAGGAAGGGCCCCACACGGCGGCCCGGAGGTGGAGGAGAGGCCCCCCGATCCGTGGACGCCGTGAAGGCCTCTTAAAGGGGCCGCGTTCCATTTCTCCCTCCACCTTTGCCCGGTGCGCCTCCCTCCTTTCCCCTGACGTGCGCGTCACCGGGGCACCCACCCGCCACCCGAGGTCTCCTTTCTTGGCCCCCAGGCCCGCTTGCTCGCCCCGGGTTCCTTTGACCCTTCCTTTCACGTCGGACTCTCCCGCCCGAGGCTCCATTTTAAAGTTCATGTGCTCTGATGGGCGACACACCATGTCGGGGAGCGGGTGGGGGGGAGAAGTTGCGCCGACCTGGGCGGCATGCCCGGCCCGGGAGAAGAGCTGGGGGAATCAGCGGAGAACCGGAGGGGACGTTGGGTTCTCTGGGGCCCTCCACTCTGCTAAAATTCCCCACCACTTTGCGCCATCCGCCACGGTGGGCCAGTCTGGGGGATTTTCTGTTTTCCTCCGAGCCGGTCGCGGGTAGTCTCCGGGGGACCCCACCAGAACTACCCAAATCCCAGCGGGCAGCCCCTCTCCCCTGGGACCCATCCAACGACCTGAGCCCCGGGAGCGGGTTTCGGACTGTGATCGCCGGGGTCGAGGGGGGAGGGGTGCGATATGGAAAGTAGCCACATTCCTGGAAGGGGAGGGGGAAAGGGGATCGACTGGCTTTTGGAGTCTGTGGTTTACCTCCAGCAACTGTAGGGAAATAGTCTGTCCCAAGCCGAACAGCCAGTTCTGTGAGGTTCGTGATTAATACGGTCTTTTTAGAGTTCATGGCTCCATGGTGATCCTTGTGCAGATGAGATGTCTTTGGGCCTCCTGGTGCTCGTGTCTGTTTTGTGTCTTGGGAGTCGGCTGGGAGAGCCAAGGGTACCGAGGTAGTAGAGTTGGGTTTGTTTTCCTCTAGCGCCTTTGGGGGTGTTTGTCAGCGCTGGAAGACGCCGAGAAATTAACCCTGGCTGAAGTGGGTATATCTACGAGAATGCAGAGATTTGGCTTTGACGTTTTTCCCCCCGGTGGTTGAGCATTTCTTTCACGGTTTTCATGTTTTTCTTAGCAGAATTGAGAATTTGAAGAACTTTTTAGAAGGTATTTAGTACAGTTTCTGTGTGCCTGCCATCTTTCTTGGATTTTTGAGTTTGAGGGTAAGGAGAGCAGTTGAAGAATTTATAGGCAGCAACAGGTGTCAGCTGGATATTTATTCATTCAGCAAACACTTTTAAAGTGTCTGCTATGTGCTAGGCAGTATGTTTAGCGGTGATTTTGTGGCAGAGAATGTAACATTTCCAGTAGAGGCCTACCTGAGTGAATCATTCAGACACCCCTCATGTCATCTAAAAAAAACTTGGCTACAAGTTGAACATGACTCAAATACTGTTTCTTGAGCATTTTGATCTTTCTTTGCTTTTTCTCACCTGTTTTCTAAGGGACTTGAGTTTCTCATGTCAAAGAAGTAAGAAAATGAAACGAACAAAAATGAATGTATGATTCAGAAAATGGGGGTTGCTTTTTAAATTTTTTTCAGAGTGGGTAAGTCTCTGAGATCAGCTAGCCCTGACCTGCATTTTACAGCTGTATAAACCCAGAGATGTAAGCTATAACTTAGATTATTCTAATGCTTGTCTGGTATTCTTTCTACCATTCTTTACTTTATTTCATAAAACCCTTTTAAAGTTTCAGGGACATGAATGGAACCCAGTTCTTGCCTCATTGCCATCATGAGCAGTAACTGCCAAAATGCAAGTTCCCGTACAGATTTTTATTTAAAGACTTATTTACTTACGCGTACAGAACTGGGGTACAGGCCAGAGGTGCAGGGGCAGCAAGAGGAAGCACCAGACACAGAAAGGGGAGCAGAACAGGCAGACTGATGAAGTACACTGCTGAGGGGAGCAGCAGGCAGGTCAGGAGACGTCTACTGCAGCCCTTTGGGTCACCTCGGGGGCTGGGGATGGGACTCATGCTAAAGTGGCGCTAGCATCTTAATGCTGTTCTTTAACCCAGTGTGCCCCCTTATAGATTTTTAATTAAATTGACTCATTGAAATAACTGGCTAAGCCATTATGCTCCTTATACATAAAACAAGGAAACTGTGGTCTCTAAGGGGTTAACCTACCTGTTCAAGGTCACACAGGTAATAAGTGGGGAAGCTGGGATTTAACTCACTCCTATTTGGATCCAAAGCTGGGTTCTTTCTCTAGCATTTTGCTGCCCTGGCCACCTGTGGAAATTTTGGGAGTTGAGCATTAACTATCATTTTTAATATGTCTCCTCCAGGCTTATATTTGAAGACTCTTGAATTTGACTTTTCTAAATTTTACAAAGAATTTTATAAATATGCACTTTGAAAGATGGAAACTGGGAGAGTTTACTTTGCTGGGAACCAGTTGACGCAGTATATTTCAGATGTAGGCAGTTGCCTGTGTGAGTCTCAGGGTCTCCAGGCCGCCCTGTTTCCTGGCTGATATATGTAATGAGGTTTATACCACCACCTTCACCCCCCCTTACAAAAGAAAAAAACTGGATGAAGAAAAGACTAGGGAATGGGGATCGATTCATTCTTACAGTGAACATTCAGACTTTACATAATCCAGAAACAATTCTAATCGTTGAAAATAGAGATTTTTTGTGATCTGTCCTGATAGCACAAAAAACATTTTGATAACATGCTAGAGTTTCTTAGATGTCAGTACTTCTGAGATCACCGTTTTCCTGCGTATTTCAGAGTACTACTCAGTAAATTCCTCTTGTAGCATTTAGGGGAAGGCTGACTTTGAGAATACCTCAAATAGGCTGGAGTAGTGAATATTTAGCTAATACAAAAGTTGTTCTTCACCTGTTTCCTCCCAAGGGGCTATATCCTCTATGGACAGTTTGAGAGATGTAATTCACATTCATTGAGACTAGGTGGGTGGGGAATACACTGCCTTTAAGAGAAATGAAAGTAAAAAGTTGAATTAATGTTCATTCAAATTCTAAATTGTGTCCATCTCAAGCACGTGTCAAGGGAGAGCATTTTGTAATTAGAAGACAACTTTGTGCCCTAAAAGAAGTTAGATCAAAATTTGCTCAATTCCTGATAAGATTTGAAGTTTTATTCTCACTTGTTCAGATACTAAAAGAAAAATTATTTGGCACGGTCAGTTTTGTTGATAAAGAGCTAATCAAATCCTAGGGGAAGGCAGGAAGTAACTCTTTGCATCTCAAAGGTTATCTTTTATCTTTTTCACAAAGGCAGATTATGTAGCTAGAGGGAAGACATCATTTAAAGGATAACCTAGTCTTCTCCACAAGGAATTCAAAGTTGTGTTTATGTTGTCCCCTCACTGAATCAGTCCTGTAAGCTTTACTGGTGTTTATGTCTCTAGGAAGCTGTCCATAAACGTTTGACTACCTCGTGTGTGCCAGGCACTGGCACGGTCCAGTGTGGGAGCCAGTCTGCTAAGACAGCATTTTCTCTGGAAGAGGTATAGAGGGGTCTGGATCAGAGATGTCTTGAACTGGGGGTGGTGCCTAAATTAAGATCTGAAGGACCAGTTGACGTAAGTGGTGGTAAGTCTGGGGAGGGGAGTAGGTAGGTATGTGCCCACACAGGCTAGGAGGAGACGAGAAGAGAGTATGCAGCATTGGGAGAGCTACAACTATTTCCTTCTGGCTGGAGGGTAGGGGGTTGGCAGCACTGAGTGGAAAGAGATGGGGCTAGAGAGGTATGCAGGGGCCTCCTAGGACTTGGTGCTGTGGAGCTTGGACTTCGTCCTAGAGAAAGAGAAGAGCGAGCGTTGTGGGAATATTTTTTAGCAAAGGAGTGACACATGCTTAGATTTTAATTTAAGAGATAAGAGCTTTGATTTACTTGTCTTTAACCATCCTCCCTGCAATGTGGCTGCCACACCTCACCTTGGGGTCCCCAGCACATCCTGCAACTGCTGTCATGGAATGTGTCATTGGCATGGGTGGTGGGCAAACAACAGGTGGGTATTTCAGGGCTGCCTGATGCTGTTTTCCTTATAGCTGTATCAAAAAGCACAAATACAAGTGTGCTGTCCCTGAAGGGGTCATTTCTAAGCTGTTCCTGGTCTTTGGCAGGGAGGTGGCAACTAGGGGCTTTGGAGATCTTCAGGGCGCGTCTGCAAGGCAGTTGGCCAGTTTAGACAAGATTATATGGAGCAGGCTGTCCCTGGGACTCTGGAAAAAGGTCTGTTTCACTGTGGTTTCAAAGAAAGGGGGATAATGAGCTTTTCACCAGTAACTTCTCAGTTCTTTTCATTGAGGTTGATGGGAGGCCTGTTCCCAGCGTGCTCTGGGCATTCAAGAGAGCTGCCATGGTTGCCAAGAGCTGGAAATGCAGGCAATCACAAGCCTTTCCTTCTACAACAGAAGAGAGCTTAATGTATCATTCTGAAAACTTTTGGTAAAATCCTGCCAGAGAAAAGTCACTGTTGGGGAGACGCAGGGATGCAGGCATTCTTGGGGCCAGCCCTGCCCGGTATCCGTTCTTAACAAGATGGAGTGTATTTCCCCCAGGATGCTGCATTTTTTCCTCTCAGGACACTTACTAGGTTGGTTTTCTATGAGAAGACTGAGTGTAGCTACATATGCCCATGGCCAAAATAAAGAAAGAAATGACTTTTTGAAGTGGTAACCATAGAGGTTTCTCTTCCCAAGCAGTTTTAACTATTTTAGCTTCTGCCAAACAACCTTCTTTAACATCCAACTCTGTGCAAGATGTTGATGAGATGAAGGTTAAAACCAACTGCCACTCAAATTCCCAGCACATCCCATGAGAAAATCTTATCCCCCAATGTAAGACGTTTAAAATGTCCCTCACATTTAAAATTTTAAAATGTCCCCAAAGTCTTCCCCCTCATGCTTTTGCCCTTG